CCTGCACTCGTCCCCCGAGGTACTCAAAGCTCTCGACCATTTCCAGCTGATCACCACGGGGGACGAGTGCAGGCACAAGCTTTTGCCAGTCTTGAACCAGCACTTTGCATTTAGAAGGTGCAACTCTTTGAGGATCGATACATACTTCTCAGGTACTCCATTCCTCAACAAACAGTTGCATAGTGCGGTCCTATCGACAGAGTCGAAGGCCGCGCGAATGTCTAAGAATACAATGACCGTTGGTCTTTGGTGGGCATGACGGTGCTCTAACAGCTGTTTGAGGGTGAAGGTTTGATGGATGCATCCACCATCAGCGCGAAACCCAGCCTGCTCCTCACGGGTCTGCTCTTCACGCGTGGTGCACAATCGGCGGAGAATGACGGACGCCAACAGCTTCGACGCTATCGGGATCAGGCTTATACCCCTGTGATTGGTCGCAGTCATTGCGCGGGCCCTTTTTGAAGATGGAGACAACAATCGATTCTCCCCACGAGGTGACTTACTCAGTGTTCCACACTTTGGAGAACAGGACGTAGAGTTCTCCAACAAGCCTTATTCTACTATCTTCAAATAGAGCAGGGGGAAGAACATCGTAGCCCAGCGCTTTGTGACGACCCAAGGCTTGGATCTCCTTGCGGATTTCCGTCTCAGAAGATGGGTCGGTTGTGACAGACCATGGGACCTGTGCCGGAATAGCTGTGTGAGATGCTGGTGCGGGTGGCCAGCTAAACTGTGCTTTGGAGTGCTCCGCCCAGCGTTCAAGACGTCGTTGATTGTGAATGGGCGAACTGTCAACTTCACAAATCGTTTCGCTCACACCTAAGGCTTTCCTACCGCTGACCCGGATGAGATGAAACAGCTTACGGAAATTTCCCATGGCGGCAGCACGTTCCATCTCAGATGCGCGTTTGGTCCACCAGATCTCGCGGTCTCTGCGTAGGCTTACGTTGAGGTTACGACTCGTTGCTCGTCGTATTTCATTATGCTCGCTGCCGGTAGGGATTGATCGGCGTGCGTCGAGAAGCCGTAGAGATTCCGCAGAAATCCAGGGTGTCACGGCGCGACGTGTCAGACCACAACTAACTAAGCCAGCAGAATGCAGAGCATTCTTGATA